TTATCCAGTCACTATGGTAATATATATATATATATATATATATTGCTGAAATTACGAGATATTAAACTTGACAAGGTTAGGATAGGTTTTACGAGATACATTTCCGTTTTTTACGTGCAAGTTTCGATCGATCGTAAACATAAACAAGTGTACGTGTATGGAAGTATGGCTTGTGCAATTAAATTTATCCAGAAACTTTCACGGAAGTGCGTAGCCGCACGGATTTCCGCACTCTTTTATGAAACAATTCGAAATATGTATCAAACAACGATTTTTGTACGAGGTGTAATTTATCGTATCCGTTCCACGACAAAATATATCTCGATCTATCTTCCTCTATCCTGCAATTTATAAAAAACTTAAATTGATAAGCAAAACTGATAATCAATCTCTTATGTAAATTATTTTTCTTTGATTCTTCGCGTTATGTAATTCTTTTTATTTATTTTCGAAGAGAATATCCTTCGGCTATTGGAGGTATCCTTCTAATTCCAAAATAGATTTTGCCACAGATAGATAAATGGAAATAAAAATATTTAACATCTTCAAGTAATACTTGATCTTGCAAATAAATTTTTGTTTGATGTAGTAGTTACGTAAAGAAATAATATTTTAAATATATATTTTAATATTATAACAATTAGTAACCGGACATTAGCGCTACGTGATTGTTAAGTATAATACTACAGTATTCAATTCAATATACTTATAATTATTTATTACTTTTATTTCTTCGTTTTTCAAATATTCGAATTATTATATTTTTCTACAAATTTTTTTTAACTTTGACATTACACACAGGATGTTTGGATTCTAAGACAAATGCAAAATATTGGGATTTTGCAATGACAATTGATAATTTGCAAAAATGTTTGTTAAAACTATGAACTTCTTGTTTATTGGTAATTTTTTATAGGTAACAAATTTTTTTACGAAAAACAATATCGAATGTATATTGATCAACTGTATCTACATATGTAGTAATAGTATGTAATATATCAAAGGAATTTTTATAATATATTGAAATGATTATTAACATAATTTTGTAATTACAAAGTAATTTTAATCGTTAAGATTATTAAGCAAAAAAATTTTTTTTCGCATATGTTATAATCACAGCATCTTAAACGGAAATGATATTATGAACTTATTCATAGATCCATATCCTTGTGCATATTCTTACACCTTGGTCGAGACAATTGCATTGGCCTTGCTATGAAAAACACAGGCAGTCGTAAATCTAATGTAACTTATTCAATCGATATATTGGAGATATTATTATGGAGAATTATATTAAACACTTTTATGCTTAAACACTTGTTTATTTAATTATAAGAGAGGTACAAATTATTTGAATATTCATAAGAGAATCACAATTCAAAAAGAATTGGAAAACACTGATCTATGATAATGAAGTTTAAATTATATAACATACTATGCTAAAAAAAAAAAATTAAAATTGCTAATTACATATATTTCTATATATAATTGTCTAGATAATTTCATTTAGTTAATTATTAAATTTTCTTTTTTTATGAATTATTTATGCTATATTTTTATCGTTTAAGAATATTCGAATATATATATACGTATGTATATTTTTAAATAATCAATCATAAATCATAACAAAATATTTAAAAATAATCATTCCATCGTATTAACATAATCACTATTACCAATGAAATCATTATTGATAGAATTCCATGTTCTGAAATTATGTACCACGTCGAATCGTTTTTAAATTGTAAATTGATGTCAGTTTCCCAATAAAGAATTCTACTATTTATAGCAATTGTTTGAGATTGTAATCGAATATTTTATAATAAAATGAATTTTTTGAATCGCTAATGGATAAAATCATGATTCGATATTTTTAATTCGGCTAAAGTCTTAAAATTTTTATTTTAAGAAAATTGAAGAATAAAAAAATTCATATTCCAACAAAACTTTGAACATAAAATTAGAACGAAAAACTTTTTTTTTAAAAATGAAAGAAAAAACAACAATCGATAAAACAATCAGTACATAATGATTTATAACCTAATTCTTTAATTTTTTCATTCAACATTCTTTCATTAAATAACTTATAATTTTAATCAAATCTAAGAATTTAAAAATTTCAAATTTATCATTTTAAAAAAATAGAAAAAAATTTTAGACAAAAAAAATTCTGAATACTTACCGGTGGCGGTTCGGTAGAAGAATACACCTCGCTGGGCGCGTAATTACTATGAGGCGGATGTGCCATCTTTTCCGAAACAACTGCCACAGTTGCCAAGGAGTCCGGTTGATCCTTTTCCATCTTCTCCGGTATGTAGTCTAAAAACGTCTTTCTTCTTCCTAGAGCACTGATCGATTGATTGATTCTTGACTACGAGCGATGTTTGGTACCCTCAATGTTTTGATATCTCGAAAATCCTCTCTCCCTTAATCGACAAGAACACTCGATGTCGATCGCTCGACGAATCGACGAGCAGTGAGCGGGCAGCGCCGTCTGACACCGCTAGCTTAGGGTTACCCCCACCACCTGTTAAAGAGTTACTGAACCTTTTGGTATATTACCTCTCCGATGGGTATGCCTTCTGGTATGGAGGTATATCGTGTTCTTGTGTCGGACTTTCTAAACAGCATAACGTGTACATTCGCGTCCGTGGGCGAGACCGAAATGTTTATATGTATACCGCTCATCTATGAAGGAAGGCGGTAGCCGGAGAAAAATGTGAAACGAGTTTTTTCGTATTTTTAGATAGTTGTTAGCATTTTGCGATTTGGTTTGGTGCTAAATAACGGTGAGATATGATATTTTGTTAAAACAGGTTAATCATTTCCTTTAAAGGAAATATAGAAAATATAAATAAGAAAAACAGTGATTGTATTATAGAGTATTCTTTAAAATGATGGCTAAAGTTGACAAAATTTACATTGATTCACAAATAAGTTCTTTAATATTATTTTCGTTCATAAACAATGTATATCTATGTAAAAAAACTGTACCGATTGCTCTGACGATAAGTTTGTTTATTATATCGTAAATTACAATTGATAAAAATATTGAAAACGAAAAATTGTCGTTTTGTACTGATTAATTATTCGATAAATAAATTTTTAAATTTGATTTAATTTTATTTATTATTATTAGTTATTTAATCTACAATTAAAAATCTACAGGTAAAAAATTTATTGAATATTAATTGACAATTCATGCCACAGGCACAAATATGCAAATTCTCTCTTCGAATAAGGATATAAGCCAAATTTTATATTTTTATTCTTAATATCAAAAATTACAACGAAAAAATAATTAAAACCTTCAATTTTAAAATAAATATTGATATTGCAAAAATCTTAATTTATAATATTTAAATTATAAACAACAATTGCATATCTTGACTTTGATAAGAGAAGGATCATACATCTCGAAGTATGTCATACACTTATTATTTATTTACTTATTTGTTTATTATTTCATATAAAGTATTAATATCTGGTGGGAGAAGTGAAAACTAGCTTTAGTTCGTCTGTACGACTCTTCCCTATCCGTGCAACCATACACACATATGCATACATATATATATATATATATATATATATATATATATGTGAATACGTTCAAATACATCCGTCATTTACGCACTCGAATCAGTATGCGTATATCTCCATGTGGGGATCAACGTTCGAACTCGAAGTTTTGCAATGTTTTTCTCGTCCCCTCCACTTCTTCCACCTGCTACTCCTTCTTTACCTCTACCTCCTGCTTGTATTCCGTTTCTCCTCCCCTGCATCGGTAAAATTGCATCAACGTGACGGATGTATATACGGACGAATCCTGGAACGAATAACAAGACTGTTTTTGAATGTGGAACTCTCACTGGCTTTTAAAAGGACACATGGTTATTTGGCGCATGCGCATGCGAGATGCATGCGAAGTAGCTCGTTTCAGCAGGAGCGGCGTAATTGGAAAGGCGATTTTCGGGAAAGGCGATTAAATATTTTCTCCTTGGCGCAATGTAAATCGCGGTCGTGTGATAGCGGTGTAAATAACGGCGTTACGAATTGTGACAAATACATTGTGACAAATAGGAATGAATATATTAGGATAAAACGAAATATAAAAGTGAAATTCTATTTTGTAGTTCACAATTTTTAAAAGTAAATAGATTATCTTTTCATAATAAATTAGTAATAAACTTAAAAGTTATATCTAATGAACAAAATTTTTTGTGATCATAAATTAATTAAAAATTATTATTTTTATTAATTTTATAATTATTATTGAATTGATTTTATAATTGTTTAATAATTTCCAAAAATGGAAAAACAACTTAATTAATAAACAACATTCAAAAGCTTAACTTTTATATCAAACAAATACTTTTTCATTATTACTACTAATTAATTACTTTTGAAAAACGATTAATTCTTCTAATTATATTAAATTACTATTATCTTTCTTTAAAAGTGAAAAAAAATGAAAGAAACCTTTCTTTTTCAAGTTAAAATTGGTACAATGAACGAAAGCACATCGTGTCATTACCTGTATGCAGGAAATAACTGACCAGAAGATTCGAGGAAGTTCATATTGTAATGTTCGTTAATGGTGGATACGTATGCGTGATAATGAACGCAATGAAGGGCCATCGAATAAAATGATTGAAAGAAGCATTGAAAGTCTTTTGTTTATCGACATCCATTTAAAAGGCAAGTAATAAGTACTTTCGAAATTTCACATTGTTAATTCTGTTCCTATCTCTATTGTGATTTAACAAAGAAATATATTTCACTTCTCTTATATCGTCTATAATAAACATAACCTATATAAGTCAAATATTTTATTTCTTTCCTTAAAATTCGATTATCTTGAGATTTAATTGTATAAAATTATTAAAATTAAATGTAATGTCATTTTTAATAATTTATAACACTTATTTATTTTAAAATAATTACATTATTATAATTCTACAGAGATTAGAATAATGCTTTTTCTTATTTCGAACAGGAAAAATTTATATTATGAATTCAATATTAATTATTTATCTATTTTATATTATTAAAATACTAAGGTGTAAAAAAATGTTTGTGTTGTGTGTAGAATATATTTATAGAATACCCGCACATAACATAAATTCGAAATGCAAACCTGTGGTGATATCTGTTTAACACGTTGTTATATTATAGACTGTGCGTCAAGTTAAAGATAAAAACGAATGGTATGTGATATGAAATTAAATTATCATCTAACGTCAAAATTATGTGCATACGTATAAAAGATAAACATAGTTAATGAACATGAAAAATAACATAATAAAGTTATGTCTTTTATCTATTTTCATCTTTATCATAATTTAATTTTAATATTTGTATCATTTTAACAATTTTGTTTTTTTTCACCATAATATACGTAAATAATTATTATTAATTATTAATTTCAGACAGCATTCATGAATACATTTATTATGCAATTACTTTCAGCATCCAAAATAAAGAGAAATTTTTTTTCTCGATTTTGAACATCGTTAATCAATGCACGAAAATTTACATCTTCTGTTTAACATCGTTTTCACATAATTGATACTTATGCAGATCATCCATACATTGTGAACGATGAATGGCACGCATCATGTATCCTTTATATTTCTTCTTTTCATTTTTTAATAATGCGTTTACCTTATTTCACTAAATGAATATATTGCTGAGTATTTTACACAACGATATATCTTTCGTATAAATATAAACCAGCGTTTCTCAACTTATTTGCTACGTGATTCAATATATTTGTTTATAATGCATTGTGCATAAAATATATAAAATTAAATATTATCATTATTGTATATTAAATAAATAAATAATATACGTATTTGGATTTATTTTAAATAATTAACAATTAGAGCAGTAGAGTAATTCGAATATTTTATCAATATATTATAATTCAATATAGTTAATTCGTATATTCAAAATGTTAATATATTTGTAAAACATCTTTGAGAAATAATGCTTAATGAAACCAAAACAAGCATAAAAGTTGGTAAAAATATCGAAGATTTTAGAATCAATCACCTAAGTTATATAACACATTAACACGTTACATAAAAACAAATCATCGTAATTCTTAGTGATTTCTCTCAAGAAGTTCGATTGTTCAATTATCAGATGTTGCATTTTTCATTTTTTTTTTTTCCGTTATTTCTTCCTTTTGTCTGAATTTTTTTCTGAAAATAACATGATCGATGTTTTTATATACGTTTCATATTTTCTTGGAAATATCTAATAGTAAATATCGATTGCCAGATGGAAAATTTTCTTGGCTCTATGTGATGCCAATACTTCTATTCTTCATACTATAAAAAGACAAAATGTGATACGTTTAAACAATTATTTCGTAATAAATTGATTTGCATAAAAGATTAAATCGTTCTTCTTTTTTTTTTTTTAGAAATGTCTAGTTTTTGAAAGTTCTGAATATAAAATATAAAAAATAATTTTATTGGAATTTCTTCCTTACCTTAATCTTTGATGATTTTCAAGATCTTCTGGTTTCCAAAGATAAAGAAAAAAAACTCGAAAGAAGAACGTTTTGTGAACAGCTTCTCAAGGAGATTACTTTGAACGTGACCACAATGATACTCTGGAATGAAGTACGTAATAATTTTACCATAGAGTTCGCTAACTTTATTCTCAGACCTTGTATTATACCAACAACATGCGCGCATTTTAATATTTTCTGTCTTTTATCGTTTTACCATTTGACATTAATAATGCATAAATGTTTGTTATGTTAATTAATTTTTGTTATGTTAACAGATAAAATGGTCTCTCTCGTTTTCCATATATATATAAACGAAGAAAATTTTCAAGGAAAGTCAAAACAAATTATTTCGATGTTAAAAATCTATATCGGCAATATGACATGGATAAAAGAAAAAGGAATAAGAAATACTTAGAAATATAGCTGTTACCAACAAGAATTCGAAAGTGTCGCTAAGCATCTTTTTATTGACAATTGCATAATAGGAAATATGGTAACAAATGGAATCTCAATACTTCCGTATCGTAATCGAACAATTTCTCTTATTGATTTATTGATGAAAATAAATAAAAACGTCTAATCTTTTTTATTTTAAAAAAAAATAATTTATATCAAATTACATCAGTGTTTTTAATCTATGGACCACAGAAATGCAAATTTTTCATCGATATTTTCATATTTTCGTATTCTCGTATTTTTTACTAGTTGCATTCATTCTATCGTTGATGTTGAAAATAATTATTCAAAAATGTCAAAACGTATGTGATAATCTTTACACTTTCTTCTTTTTTTCGCTTGAGATGATCATGGATAATTTATATAACATTTTATAAAATACATACAAATATATGATTTTAATGAATTTATTATATTATTTTATCGTTTAAATTAAAATGACTGTTTATATATACAGAAAGATTGAAAAATTTTTTAAATATTCAATCAAATAACATATATTATTCTATTCTAATATATTAATCTAATATTAATTATTTCATATATTAATCTGATCATAATTCAAGCATTCGATGGAATAGATAAATAGATATTCCTAATTGCTAATAATTTGCATTAAAATTTATTTATAACAAATTGATCATTGTGGTAATATAAAGTATATCATTGAAATGTCTCTTCTTCAAAAAAAAAAAAATAATAATTTGTAAAAACCATGTTTTTATAAAAAAAAAACTATTATGCTTTCACTCCATTTCCCGACACGCTATCCACGCTTATGCTACTTCAGAACTGGTTAAACCATTTAGAAATGAAAAGATGAGCAAGAATTATAAATGATCGTAACAACGTGTCCACGGATGATTCGTGGAGAAAGTGGGAAACGCAGATACACCCGCGGATAATTTTACGACTGTTGAATATACGTATTATACGATTCTTGATTCAAAATATAAAGATAAATTTCAAAATACATTTTAATGTCTCAGAAGGCGAATCGATCAACTGCACTTTTCTTTAAATTTTTTAATTTTATCAGCATATAATTAACGTTCAATTTCTAAAAATAATAATAATTAACTCGCATTAATTTGTAATTTTGCAAAAAAAAAAAAAAAGAATAATCGCCATAAATATAATTTTCATAATACTACATGTGTAATCGAGAACGGAGCGTGAATGTAGTGTATTCTTTCTGTGTGACCCGATTCCAACTGATTCGAATATGTGAATGAAACTTTCTCCGGTTAAATTGTCGTATGAAAATATGAAAATACTACTATATTACATAGAAATCATGTCTTTTTCTTGAAATTGCAATTATTTGATATAAACAAAGAATCTCATTATAAAGAAAACGACTAATCTTTTTTTTTTTTTCGTTTCAAATTATAGTTAACTATTGTCTTTTTATCACGTTGTAATTATATTATAATTATATATGTGTGTATATATATATATAGATTTAATATTGCATTATACAAAAATTTAAAAAAATGAAAAATTATTTAATTAAAAAAAATATTTTTAAAAATTTTTAAAAAGAAATATATGAATATTCAAATACTTATTAATATAATCTTTTGAGTAATTTTTTGATTTCTAGAATTGCATTTGAAGTTTTCGTTCAAATATAAGAAATTTAATATTGAATAGGTTTGAAAGTTTTAAAATGAAAAATAAGAATGTTATATTAATCTACTACAGACTATTTTGTAAACTAGATATGGGAGAAAAATGTGTTTTCACCGCACGATGAATGCACACCGATGCATAAAACACGTAATCGTATCACGCTTAGAATCTTTTCATCTTCGCATGTATATATGTATATCCTATGTACTTGTGTCACTGTCATGACTAGCGCTTTCTCTAACAGTAGCGTATCTATTATATTTTTCGATATCGAAGAATCTAATTAGATTCAAAAATTTTTAAATTTTATTTATTATATAAATTATAATGCATTAAAATTAAATCACAAATAAAATACAATAATATATTCTTATTCGATGATTTTTTTATTATCATTTATTACATTTAAAAATTTTAAAGCTTTGATGTTATTTTCAACATCATCGATATCGATTTATAAAATAATAAATTTAAACAAGGAAAACCAATAGGAAATAAGAAGATATATAAAATTATAGAATCAGCGCCATCTTCAAAATATCTAAATTAAACATAAATATAAAAGAGGAGAATAAATAAAGAATAAAGATAAGATAAGAATTGATCTTTAGTGCCATCTTTTGCCATCAAAAATATTTTTCTATAGATAAATTATAGTAGAGTATTTATGAGATGGCGTTACTCTTCTTATTTCTATATTTAAAGAAATATTTTTTACAGTCAAGAGATAGCACTGATAATCAATTCTCATTTTAGCTCTATCCTTTTCCATTATATATTCTTTTTGTTTATATGTTTCATTTATGATATTTTGAAGATGATTTATTTTATAAATTTATACGCTCAAATAAATTAATGCTGATTCCTAATTTATATAATTTATGTAATAATTTATGCTTTTAATCTAAGTATCACTGAAAAAAATATTAAATTTGACATAAAAAATATATATATATTATTGCTTTGACTAAATAAGAGAAATCTTAAAGGTAAATATGATATTGACGAATGATATCGTATATTTATTTTTTTATATTATAATAACACTATATTAACATCATATAATAATATTAATATTATGAAGTGAAAGATGCAAAAAAAATAAAGATGTCATTATGGAATAGAAAATATAGAAAAAGTAGATAAGCCTTTCAATATCTGGTAATTCAAATTGAACCTTTAGTTTACTTTCTATTAAGTACTTAGTTTCAGCTTAGAATGGAACTCTCAATTCTACAATGCTCAGAGAGTTCATAATATATTTTAATAACGCCATCTATTCGATGGTATGATTTATATAGCATTACAAAATAGTTGATAGATGGCGCAATCAAATTTCGATAGTTGTTTCCACTCTATCATAATATCATAATACGTCAGTTAAGAGACTACACGCATAACATCCCTCTCATTGGATAGGATCTCATCCTAATCTTAAACAGGATTGATATAAACATTTTTTGAATTCTTTTTTATTAGAAAAATCTTTTTTTTTATTTTATTACAAAAATCTTTATTAAATTCATCTTTATTTATTGTCTATTTTTTTTCATCTTCGTAAAAATACAAAATATATAACTTCGTAAATTTAAAATTATAATACTGGTATTGAAAATATAATTAGATTAAGCAAATATTAATTTAAAATACATTTAAACTATTTTGCAAAAAACTTTTAAAAATGAATAATGAAGCATAAAATAATATATATAGAACATATATAGAATAATAAAAATATAAAAAACAAAATTTTCTAATATTAAATAAAAAGAATCATTCACAAAGATATTATTAAGAAATAGTAAAATTAATTACAAATAAATTGTTAAAAGACAATATAATTTTTATATATAAATATGTTTATATTATTATTTAAAAAATATGATAAACTCTTTAATAATTTATTTATTAAGTCTTTCTCCTATTTAAAAAAATAGAGAAAATATTTCTTTAGCCTGGAAACTTTTTTAATCATATTCATCTAAAAATTTATTGCAAAAGATATATTAATATCCATAATATGTTTGCAAGAATTACTTGAAATAAATCATCATATATTAGACCAATAAATTCATTTTTCCAACTATAATATAATAAAATAACATAATATCATGAAAAAAAAAACATTATTATTAATATAATAATATGTGAAAAAATATTAGACCTTAAAGTAATTAGTATTTTCTAAATAAAAAATGAATTAACAAATTTTTTATATAAAATAATAAATAACAAAAATATTAAAATTTTTGACATATATACATAAGAATAAAATTACAATATTTAAAATATTTAATGAATAAACAAAAAAAAATATTTTGATATAAAAAAAATATATTTTAAAAATTATATATAATAGAATATATTAGCATAAAATTTAGCATAAAATTTTCGTAATATAAAGTATAAGAATATTTTTTAAAATATATATTTTTGAAAATATATTGAATTGAATTTTAATAAAATTTAAAAAATTGATTAACAATAGACTTATATAATTCATTTATATAAAGATTATAAGTCAATATAGCAGGTACATTATATCTACTTAAGTCATTTAAAATTTCTTTTGTAGAGTTCTATATAAATTTAACTTATTTTTAAATTATATAAAAATAAAATTATTATATTTATCATAATTAAATTATTTTTCCATATTTCTATTATAAATTTAATTATTATTACGATATAATATCCGAAAATATAATACATATTTATTCTACATAACTGTTTACAACATGAGTCAGTACAAAGTATTTATCGATTTTCATGAAAAATTTGATATTATATTTTTCTAAATAAATAATAAAATATTTTTATCAAAAATGTGCTATTATTTAATGTGATAATTTTGTTGAATGATATTTATATTTAATTTATAAATAACATAAAAAAAAGTATTTTAAATTCATATTATATTATAAAATATGATAATCCAAATATTACTAAAATAAATAATATTTTAAAAATTGTTTTAATGTTTCTAAAATTTTTAATTATCGATATAATAATGTTGAAATAACATTAAAGTTTCATTTGACTAGAAAACAGAAAGTAATGTACACCAATGCCATCTTAGAAAGGAGGCCACGGAAGAAGATTAACGCTACATACGCCACCATTTTATGAGCATTTCTACTTGTGCAGTTGAAGAGAACACTTATATATGTTACGAGATTTTTCTATTTAATAAATCAACTCATTTGAAAACGTAAGTAAAATATATTTTGTTAAAAACAAATACATATTCAATAATTTGTATTTGCTTTTAAAATACTAAAAGCAAATAATGTAATTTCTTCAAAACTTCTGTAGCGTCGGTTTCAATTCCGATATATATTTGTATATTTATGCAAATAATAAAATAAAATAATCATTATGTGCAATAATTTTTAAATAATTTTTAAATAAATTTGCTATTATATAATAACTTTTTTAATAAATTTAAATATTTAAATTGATATAATTAATTTTCATTACTGCAGTAAATCGTGAGTACAACATGGCGGTATGCTAAATTTCCTTTTTCAATATAATAGACTAAATTTTATGATAAGTCTAACTATATATTTTTGAATTCATTATATAAGAATAAATTATTTAAAATCAAAAACGCATACGATTTGCATCACTTTTATATTATAAATATTGTATTTAATAGTATTATTTTTGTCATCAATCGATATTTTTTTTTAGTATACTGACAATGAATGTCAAATTTTCATTAGATATTGAGATTTATTAATAAATTTACTTCTATAAAGAACAGAACATCTATTTATACAAAAGATTTTAATTTTTGAAATATTTATATTTATTACAAATTAATTAACTATAATTTATTTTGATATTAACAGAAAGATTTTGTCAATTACAGACGCAAAATGTCACGTTATCGTGAATGGGATCTTTCATGTAAAGTTTATGTTGGTAATCTAGGAAATAGTGCTAGTAAACATGAAATTGAAAGTGCATTCAGTAAATATGGTCCACTTAGAAATGTGTGGGTAGCTAGAAATCCACCTGGATTTGCTTTTGTGGAATTTGAAGATCCACGAGATGCAGAAGATGCAGTTAGAGGATTAGATGGAACGTAAGTATTAGAATAAATAATATATTAATATAGAATAAAAAATAAAATAAAATATAGAAAATACAATATATAATAGATAATAATAAAATAATTAAATTTTAATATAATTTTTTTTGTTATTTTTTTTTTTATTCTTTTTATAGACGCTGTTGTGGAACTAGAGTAAGAGTAGAGATGTCTTCAGGAAGAAGTAGACGTGCAAGTGGTGGACGGAGACCAGGTCCAAGATACTCCAGGTAAGAAATCTTAGTGTTAAATATTAATATTTTACAGCAACATTTGAGCTGCTGCAGATGGCTAAGTGTCTTATCAAGTAGGTATTATAGTGCAGTTATCAAATAAGGATGTCAAGAAACGATGCACGGGTTTCGGTGAATTTTTTTATGCACAAAAGATATTTTTTAAAATTATTTTATATAAGAATGCAGATAGAATATATATATATTATATATTATATTTATTTGATTTTATTACTCTTCTGGCTAGTACTCTTATATAAAAAATACAAAAAATTAAAGTTTTAAAGATTAAAATAAATAATTAAATACGAAACGACATTAAAAGAATTTTGAGAAATATTTTTAAAATGTAAAAGTTCATGAGGTTAGCCGAAGAGTTACTAAATACACTGCATGGGAAACCTAAACGGGAGATGCTAGGGCAAAGTTTTGGTTATGGCAGATGTAGCAATTTCATTTATAACTCATTTTTTTCCCCATTGTAATTTCCTTGTGATTATGCTTAGCGAACAAGATTCACATACCATATATCTTTTTGACAAACTTATAGGTCCAGATCTCGCAGTCCCCGAAGGAGATCACTGGGTCGCTATCCAAGGTAAGATTTTCCTAGCCCTGCAATTTTCAGGTGCGAGTAAACAAAAGAAAGAAATCAAAGTGAAACATGGCGATCAGGAACATATTAGCAGTCTGAAACATACAACAGTTTTTCTTAATTTTTTTTAGGTCCTATTCAAGAAGTCCACGCAGATCGCCGATAAGCCGATATTCCAGGTAATTTCTTCTTATTTCATAATTTTATGGAATTTTCAGGGCCTTGCCAAGAACAACAAATCTACATATTACAAGTAGGTATTTGCAAGTACCGCTTGTATTGTGATCATCGCAATTTTGCACGCAGAATCACAATATATCATATAAAACATGTAGAGTAATTTTCTTTGAAATATATAAAACACTATTGTCACGATTGGTGGTCAAATATTTTTAATTATTTAGCATAAATTAAAAGAATAGGTAAATGTAGGACAAAGAAATAATTTAAAATATTAGAGAAAAAAATTCAAAATTTGATATTAAGAATTAATAATAAATATAATAACATTGGTGGCAAATAAAAATAAATGTAACAATGTTTGATGTTAGTAATTGAAAGCAATTTATTTCTAATGCTTATTGTGATCTTATTAAAAATCTGATTGATAATTTTCTTTGACAGTACTTGAAATTAATTATTACTAATTATTCAGTATTTGAAGATTAATTTTAATAAATATAGAAATTATTAAATTATTTAATTAACAATTGTAATTGATTTTATTTAAAATATTTTTTAGCTTTGTTCAAAAATTGAATTTAAATTAAATATTAAATTTAGTTAAATATTTCCTTATATAGTAAAAAATTTTAAATTTACTAACGTGCAAATAGCTTAGATACACTTTGTATTTTAATCATGTTTATTTATCGTATACGCATTGAAGCAGCTTTTAATTGTGCTAATTGTTATATATATATCTTTGATATATTATTTTTATATATTTAAATTTTATTTTATATACTTTTAAAATATAGATTATTACATTAGTATACTGCATTATGCGTTGCGATAAGTACATAAAAGGTAACTTGATTTTATACATCCATCATATAAATTTAATCAATCAGCTGGAAGTAAAGTCTTTTACGCATTAGAGTGGGCAGTCTAGGATAATAATGATATTATCATTACTGAGTGAAACATATGCAATTTTGTGAATTTGGATTAAGAAAAAAACCTCGTGTATACCAATAGTGGCCAGGAGTATGATAATTTTGATGGTTATATTGCTAAAACTGACGTTTGCAGATTCTACCAGCGTCAGCTCCTAGCTCTGCTCGTCTCCCCGCCACTACTACTACTGCTACTACTACTACTACTACAGCCACCGTGAAAAAAAGTCTAGCAATCAAAACTGAACAAAAAAAAAAGCCTGCCTGCCCACTAACTTCCCAACCAGTCACCATCAGTCACCACCAGTCACCGGTAGGAGCCAAGTCGTCCGTCAGTTGACAGTCCGATGCTGTCCGTCAGTCCGTCAGTCCGTCTGTTCCCCTTCAAAAAGACTTCTTCGGGCTACCTCAACCTCTAGCGGCTAGGAGCATCGTGAATCCATCGAACAGCCAACGCGATATGAACAAATACTTCTGTCAAACTCTCGGCGCGTCAATCCGTCCGTCCGTCCCAACTTCTACTACTACTACTACTACTACTGCTACTACTACTACTCGTCAACCATCACGTTAAACTTAGCCAACAACGCGACCGCCACTTCTCTTCGACTGAGCAAAGCAAAATGATCACCACCTACACACCATCCCACCACCACCCAATCAAGTACCACCACCACCAACCACCACTACATGTTCACAGTTATCTGGTATTTCACCGATTTTCAAAGATTTTTTATCTTTTTTTCTTTTTATTATTTTTTTTTATTTTTTTTATTTTATTTAAATTTTTTTTATTTTATTTTATTTTACTTTATTTTTTTTTTTTTTTCCTAATCAAACGGTGTCATGTTCTCTGTAGTCCAATGACAATTTTTGTTAATTACATTTTATTCAATAGATTTTTAGCAAACGGAACGCAAGACACTGGTTAATATTATCTGTAATTATTTTAATGATATATTGGTACACACATTGGACCAGGGAATTGCCGCCTGTTGCATATTATATATTTTATCAAGAGATGTAATGTATTTATTGAGAGTATCTGTAACAATTACTTGTAAAGATTTAATTTAACTAAATTAATCCTACTTTCGTTTATTGGTTTCTCAGTTATTGGTGAGATGTCATTTTATATTAATTATTGTGTCTAACTAGTTTTATCATCCCTTTAGGCGAATAGGAGTTAGCCAGTCCTAATTCTATTATGGTTGCCTTGCGATCATTTTCGTATCTATGTGTTTAACATACGACATTCTGTTTCGTCTCATATTTATTATTCACATTTTAATATAATCACGTTTAATTTTAAGACATGCATTATAATATTTTAGAGAAATATAAATATAAAAATATAATTTTTTTTAAATGATTCTAAAAAATTAATTACATCACATTTAAGACGAAGTAGAAAGTCGTGTATTCATAAATTGTTTTCTTTAAAATGATATAAAGTATTTTTTTAATATTTTAGGTCAAGGTCCCGTAGCCCGCGCAGGAGATCTCTGACCCGTAGCCGCAGCCGAGACCGCCGTTCTCGTTCGGATTCCCGTGACAGACGGTATTAATATTAGCACAAATTAAAAAGCAAATTAGAAAAATTGAAAAATTAAAAAAAAAATTGAAGTTAACTTATAAAATATAAAGAAAGTGTATTTCTTTAACATGGAATAAAAAAATACGTTTTATGATCGTATATAAAGAGATAAAAGAAACAAAGAAAGAAAATAGAATTATTTTAATTATTATATTTAATAAACAAAATATTTTTGTTTTCAACATCATTGTAAAGTCTAATATTAAGTATCAAGTAATATTGGAATAATTTATTTTTTTATATTTTCTTACATTAAATATCTTTTTTGCAGTGCAAAATAATGAAATTAAATTAATGATCAAATGAATATTTTCTAAGTATTTTCTCTATTTACTTACAGTTAGGTGCTAAAAGTGTTCAAGAGAATGGATCGACTAAATGTGGCGGAAAGAAGGCAAAAGAAAACTGATTTTATATGTACATAAAAAAAGATAATCGTTACTACACATACATATTTGGTCGAAATAATGATTATAGTAAGAAAAAAAGACATTTATAAGAGATACAAAAATAACATGTACACGATGTTTAATATTTAAATTGTTAATTTTGTGCACACAAAGCGTGTATAAAAGTTAAACACATACACACAAAAAAGTGCTTGTGAACGACCACACATGCACAATTTCATACATACACATATACACACATAATACATATATTATGTACAGATGCATTTTACACACATACAAAATTTTTGTGATGTAAACCATCGAGTGCAGTGGATCTTTTAACAAGATGTGCTCATTGCTTTAAAGTGTACGAGTGAGATAAAAAATTCCATTGCAATTGAGGACAATTATAACGATCAACATAATGGTGAATGTTTAACTGACGGTAAAATATGTCGACTTGGGCCAGAGACGATTTTGGTGTGAAATTTTTGAAGGAATAGAAAACCGTCGTTTTATGTTGTATTAATTATTTTGTACTCTTATGAATTTAAGACTTCAAAATAAAAATGTATGCTATAATTTTTTTTGGATTTCCTATTGCAAATAGCAATTTAATGTTTATTCATAAGAATTAATAAAGTAGTGAATACAATGTATTAGTTGTATTTCTTATCCTATTTTAAATATTTTAGAGAATTATATATTAAAATTATTATTATCTTAAATATCTTATCTTATTCTGAAGTATTTAATTATTAATAGTAATAGATATAATTTGTATATAATTTCGAAAAATATTTAAATATATTCAAATGTTTAATAATATTAATTTTAAAGAATTAGAATTAAGATAATATAGATAATTGTGTAATAAAATATATTGATTTTGATAAATCTGAATATATATATTACTGAGATCAATATAATTGCTATTAATTTCAGGAAAAATTTCAATTAAATTTATATAGGTTAAGATTATTATGTTCTGGTATATATAATATTCTGGTATATATATAATGATGTATATAAATAATGATGGTAAAATATGAAAAAACAGACACCCAATTTAAATCTATACTGTAGAAAAGTTTATGTTGAAAGATATTAAATTTTGTAATATTTAAATATACCAAAATAGTTATTAAAAAATAGAGTTAATGAATTAAAATTATAAATAATAATTATGTTGATTCTGATTTTATTGTATTTTTTTCTTCGACTTGAAGTTATGTGAGATAGAATATTATAGTTATAACTATATTAAATTTTTTGTTTATATCTTTTTCATAATTAACTATAATATAATAATGCAAATTTGATATTGTATATTTTATGAATGATATTATATAATACAAATAAAACTGATTTTCATTTTTTTGTTTCACTATTATAAATAGTACAAGCAAATATCTTGTATACAAAATGTATAATGGTCATATGTTCGTAAATATATAATGCAATCATATATAGATTTTTATATTAAATTATTGATTCGTATGTAAGTACTATATATATAATTAAATATATATATATATATATATATATATTATATAATTTCAAAATACGATTAATATTTAAATATAATATATATAATACATATTTTATAATATATGGTTATATATTTATATTATATATAAATATATATTTTATTTATTACATTATATGTAAGTATATATTTTATATTATTTTTAATATATACTTTTCAAAATTATAAATTTTTTTATAGAAAGGATACTATATAACTATAAATTTAAAATTAAAATGAATAATTTTCATATCTATGTAGACACAATCTTAATTTAATTGTAATAAAATAATTTGATTGACTTTGATTAATTCAAATTAAAAAAATCAAAATTAAAATTATAATTAAATTTTTAGAAAAATTTTATAATAAAATTTTGAAAAATTAATCGTTTTACTAAATGTAGTAGATAAGTATGCGTCATTTTATAGGGAAAATAGAGATTTCCTTATGAAGGTACATATCTAATAAACATGGCGACTGCCAAGTGACAACGCGTTTTGCTGTATTAATTGCTTTTCAATTTTGAGTTTATTACATGATTATATTTAGCAAGTAATTTACAAAATAAGACAATTTCCTATTTTATTATTTCAAAGGAACATAGCAATTAAATAATAAAATAATTTTTTGAACAAAATCATCGTGTCGAAACAAGCTTGTACGTGTGTTAAAATGAAGACAGTTTATTGGATTAATTTTCATATATATTTCAGTGGCTTTTAAATATTTTCATATACGAATTTTTATTAATTTGTTTGATTTTTAAAACTTTTTTCTAAAAAATAGAAAAAATCTTTTTACGAATAGTTATATTTTTTTATATTTACAACCGTATCGTTATAATTTTCGCAAATATTTAATGAATTTATCATAATAAATTTTTATGAAGTCTATATATTAATATAAGTCTATATAGTAATAATATAGTTATAATATATCTTTATATAATATGAATTTTAATTATATATATAATAATTATTATTATTTTAAGAAAAAAAGATTTAATTAAAAGAATTTAATAAATAGATAATATATTTATGAACAAGAATTAATTGAAATTTATTATTATATGATTTATTATTCATAGTATATGTTTATTTTTGGTGATATGTGTTTCTTATTTATAAAATATTATTTTAAAAAAAAAATATTTATAAATTAATAATTTAATAATTAATAGTTTAATAATGTAACTTTTTTACAGAAAAGAAGAGAATATTTAGACTGAATAAAATAAAAATGCCTACACAAACAGAAAATGATGATATTCGAGTGAAAATTATTTATAATGGGTAATACAAATGATTTATATGAAATTTTAATTTAATAAATTAGTTTTACATGTAATAATAACATAAATTGTTATATTTGTTATTTAAGAATATAAACATATAATTTTAATTATTTAAGAATATAAACATATAAACATAAGAATATAAACATATAGAATTGTTGAAAAATTAATATATAAACATTTAACATATTAATTAATAATTTACTATCAGATATTCAGATATTTATTACAATTGAAAAATTTGTAATTGAAAATTATGCAATTGTAATTTTAATGTTAAGTTACAAAAAGAATATTTTAATGATAAAAATATTAAATTATATTATGCTTATAAAATATTTCTGATTGATTTATTTTCAATTTTATGAAAATAATTTTATTTTTTAAAAATTGGATTAATTTAGGTGATAAAATTTATTTTTTATTTATTTTTTTATTAAAATATTTACATTACTTAATGTTTTTCTCATAAATAATAAGTAATAATAAGTGAAAAGAATAAAAATGATAAAGTTTTAATATTTCTTATATGCAATGAATATTTTTTTTAAATATGTCATATCTCTCTAATTTTGAGATTATAAATGTTCTTAAATTGATAATTCTAATATTGTTTATATTATATGAAAATAGTTATAAAAAAATTTTATTAATATAATTAATTAATAATTAATAATGATAATGTAGTAAAAAATAATAAAGCAAATTGAATTATTAATTAAATTATTTAAAACCAAATAATTTTATAAATTTATTTTATTTTTTTATTCTTCATTTTTTTTAATTCTACATGTGTACATGTATAATAATAAGAAAAGAATTAAACATATTATTTAAATTGTTAAGAAATCACGTAAGATTATAATGACTTATGTTTGTATTAGGGAAGTGCAGATTACGTATATCACTCCTGGCATTTCAGTAGACACCTTACGAGAAGAAATGCGTACAATATGTGGATTTGGTGCTGCAGGACTAGATCAGTTTACAATGAAATGGGTTGATGATGAAGGGGATCCATGTAGAATTGCTTCTCAACATGAACTGGATGAAGCATTACGTCTTTATGAATTAGAAAAGGATACTGAAATTACTATACATGGTAAGTATTTATAAATTTACAAATATGTATTAAGAAAATAAATGTTTTTATATATATTTGAATGTATGAATGGATCAGAATAATTATTTGATACATATACCTTTTACATACCTATTTTTTTTATTATTTTGACAAATTTAGAAATAGTACAAATTCTTTTTGCATTTGAACAAAATGTTTATGTATATTTATATAAATATAAATATAAGTAAAACATATAAACATTTTTAAAATAAAAATATAATTTATATATCTATGATATCTTTATATCTTTATATTTAGTTTAATTAATATAAACTGATTTTATAAATTATAATTATTAGAAAATATATTTTCAAATTGAATAATTATTATTAAAAAATTTTAATGAAAAATTTGAAATATTTTTTTATATAAAAAATTATTTAAAAAAACTAATATTAAGATTTATTTTAAGATTATTATATTAATTTTATAATTTTTAATTTTCAATTTTTAAAATATATGTAATAAAATATATATAAGTAACATATCAGATTAATGTAATATAAGTGTAATATTATATTATATTATTATTTGTTTTTATTGATATACTATAAATTAAATTATTTATAGATTGATTTATTGATTGATATTTAATATATAGATACCAATTTTTTATTTATATATAAAAATTAATTTTCGTAAAATTAAGAAATTATTATTAAAATATTATTTGCATATTAATGTTCATTATATATATTAATATATAATTAACATTATATATAATATATAATTAACATTATATTAATAACATCTTTCTATTCCATATATTTTATAATTTTTTTCATAAAGTATTATCTGTTTATTTGTGTGTTTTCTAAAACATTACACATTATTGCGTATTATATTGCAATTACATAATTGTGAGTTTAATTTAATTTAACTGATTAATTTAACTAAATATATTATTATTTATTTTTGTACTATTTTCTTTTATCATCGAAATTTTATAAATGATTATAAATGCTTTCATAATAAACGAAAAATGTTATTATAATTCGAAAATTATATTTCTTTTATATAAATTCATTCTATACATATAATTATTTGTATTTAATAATTATCTTTCATATTATATAAAAAATACTTAATTTTATTACAAATATTACAAATATTGAAAAAAATAATTTAAAATATTAATAAAGAACAAAAAAAAATTATTAAATTTGTGGAAAAAAACAATATTTATTAAAATAAAGAAAATAGTAAAGTGATATAAAAAGTGACAAAAGTGACAAAAGTGATAAATAAAGAAAATAAACGCAATAAAAAAGAAACAATAAGAAGACGAAAATGAAAGAGAATATCGAGAATAAAGCTAAAAAAGAAAAGATAACAACTGATTATTGAGATTATTGATGAGAAAGTTTGAAAATGAAAAGAGAAGAAGTACAGGAAATGAATAGAAAAGAAAGGAGAAAGATTGGATAGTTTGTCAAAGAGAAATCAGTTCTGTTTTTCAGAGTGTGCCTTTATTTTAGCGTTTGCGCATTTCATGGAGTAAAGCGCGTCGGGCGGCGGCGGTAGTTAACGAATCCCGCGGCAGCAGTCGATATTCTTACGCGAACTGATTAGCCACGAAGTTTTCTCGCGCAAGTATATTCAAACCGACTGTTAAAACATTTAGACGTGAGAATATAATTAAAGAAATATCTAATTAAAGAAAAAAATAAAACAATAATAATAATAGTAATAAAAGAAAAAAGAAAACGAGAAATAAAATAAAAACACGAAATAAAGAAAAGAGAAATATAAATCGAAGAAAAGGAAATATAAATCGAAAGAAAAAAGAAATAGTACGTTGATTAGCTTGAAATATTGATACGACAACAATATTCCGAGGAGAAGTTTGCAATAGACTATTTCAATGGTCGGTGATTTATGTCGAGAGGTTGTGACAGCATACCTTTAACAATCGCTGTTGTCAGTGAAGAGGTTGCAAAAGTGGCGATAAACCAGCATCGATCGCGCTGACTCGTCGCATTCTCAGCCGGGTTTTCCTGCAAGAGGTCGGGCTACGGTAAAAGACAAGGACAGAGAACGGTAAAGGAGTAAGAAGGAAAGAGAATCTAGGAGAAGATAGCCAGACAGAGTGAGGCAGAGAGAGAGAGAAAGAGAGTGTGCGCACCTACCCATAGGAAGGAAAGTAGGGAAAACTTGGGGTGGGAGATAGAGGGTAATAGCGAGCAAAAGACGGGAACCAGTGGTGTACGATTTAGACAGTTGGTGGACGATATTAGACAGCCAGGATAGAAGACACTCGAGATAAATACGATTAAATTGCTCGCGAAATGGCGTGGGGATATTGGAGCGCAACGTCAGTTAGCGATCGGGGTCGGTCACCCCGTCGTGACAAGGATAAACAACAGCATCAGACATTGCATCAGCAACAGCAACAACAACAACAATATCATCAAACTGAAACGGGAGTTTCACAGGGGATGTACGGTGTGCAGCAAGTACAAGGTGAGCTTGCCGATGTCAGCTCCTCCTCTGCCGTCTCTACAGGGCCTGGTGTTAGTGCCGCAGTGGAGGAACCACCCTGCAGTATAATGATACAGGGTGGTTCCTTCTATTCTTATTCGGCGGCTACGGCGGCAGCTGCGGCTGCGGCTGCTGTTGGACGTAGAATACCTTCTGCCGTCGAAGGAGGACCTTCTACTTCTTCCACGGGCATACAAGTTTTACCAAGGGATCGACCGATTAAATCGAGTACTAGCACTTATCCACCATCGCCGAGCAGTGATTCAGCCGAGTACGAGCAACCGATCGCCGGTTTACGAACCGAATGCTCGCCTCATAACAGTCCTCACGACGATATATTCGCACAGCCTGGTACCTCTTCGTCTAGGATTAAACTTTTATGTGACAAGGGTATCGACGATACATCCGAGGTTGATATTGATGAAGTAACCGCGACGGAGATGATGTACGCGACCGCTAATCGAGTTATAGGGACTAGTACGTGTCGTGTTCATGGACCGTGTAATCCACTGCCGGATTCTGCACCACCTATGCCGCCTCTGATTGATGATACAACCGGATCCTCGGAATTTTGGTTCAACGACATCACCTGGGGTAGGTCTTGACCTAGCTCCTCGCTAAACGTTATTGAATTTCGCCGATTCTGCTGCAACGGAGCACGATATTAGCAAACGCATCTGTTTTTATTATTAGCAGTCATTCTTCTCTCTCTCTCTCTCTCTCTCTCTCTCTCTCTCTCTCTCTCTCTCTCTCTCTCATTTTCTTATCTGATTTAATATTGCACGTATATAGTTATAATTGAAACGAATAGTTGAATTTTTCTTTTAACTATTACGAAATAATCTTAATTTTACCTGCCGATTCAATTGTTTGAAAAGAAATGTTAATGAATATCGATTATGAAAAATTTTGAATATTTTCAATATATAATACAATAGTTAGATGTACGTTTATTTAATTCTCTATTTCTAAATCTTTCGTTGCATCTTTTCATTTATCTCTATATTTATATTCAATTATTCACTAATATAGAAATATATATACATTGTTACATTTACAGTAAATTTAACAATGTATTTTCGCATTCGAAACTAATATATTCAAAATTGTTTCAGAAAATTGTTTCTCTTTTTATTTATACTTTTTTTTTCATAAATATTTCTTATAATTAATATTTATTTTAAAAATATATTTCTATATATGATGAAAATTTCAAAAAAAATTCAAAACAAATTATAATATATGATTCATTCATATTTTTTTTATATTAATAAATTTTTGTTTATTAAATGATTATAATTAATTATTATTATTTTTTCTAGATTGAACTTATTAGAATTATGCTATTATAAAATAATTCTATATTTAACGAAAATGAATAAAAATATGGCAAATAATTAACTTTTCATAATTGCATTAATATATGGTAATTAACACTTTCGGCTTTACCTGTTACCTTCATTTTTGTTAGCCTTTAATGTACAAAGCTAATATTTGAAAGATATTTTTTTATGTGTTAATATAATTATAGAAGTTCGTGTAAAATTTTTTAAACTAAATTATTTAAAATCAACATTAAAATAAAATATTGTGTATGGTATTTTTAATTTAGAATTATAAATTTAGGCAAAGAATTTAAAAGTGAATTTAAGAAAAATTTGAAAGTTAAGAAGTATTTTATATTATTTTGATAAATGATATAAAAATTTTATATATGAAAAATAGAATAAAAATTTTAATTTTAAATGGTTCATTAGAAAATTAAATGCAATTTTCTTGAATAATGAAATTTGAAAATTTTATTTTATTTATTAACTTATTACTAAATATTATATAAATAAGACAAAAATATATACACAAAAATATTCAAGTTTATTAGAATATTAAATAATAAAAATATAAGTTAAACTTAAATTTTGAATAATATAATTATTGTGAAATATATTTTATATCTCTATTTATCATAAAGCTTAGACATTAATTCTATTGAGCACTTATAGTCTTAAATAAATAGAAGTAATGATAAATTAAATAATAAATTAATAAATAACAAATTCCTTATGATAACGAAAGATTATTCCTTATGATAACAAAATATGAAATAATTTACAAGCATATATAATTAACAAAACCATATCATAAAAATTATTAGAACTAAAAATGGATCAATTATAAAAAAGATAAAAAATCAATATCAATGTATTCGAATATTTTTATAATCTTTTTTCTACAAATATTATCCGATTCACTTAATAATTTTATACATTAATATTTGTATTTTACTTTCGGATTTTTGTTGAACACGTATATTTTTATCATTCAACATTTTAGTAGCAAACGTTCGAATATAATTTCGTATATACATACGTGCATGTGTTTGTTACTAGGATATTTCTCGCTTATTTTATCTCTTTAAATTAGTCCCCTTTCTTCATTTAATTCTCATTTCACTTTTTCAAAACAGTCCGCGTTTTTGTGTGGAAACTAGAACTAAGCGAACTGCAAGAATTTATTTAATTCTTTGCAGAATAGATTCGGTTCAATAGTTTCGAATGATCGATTATTGCGCCCGTTGAAGCGAAATGTAACGGCGGACATTGAAAACAACGTTGCAGATACTCTTGCGTCTACTCAGGCCTATGCCGATAAAAGCGATAACAATGATCGCATCAATTGAATTCAATGTTATCCGTTATCGGGTCGTGTTTTATGATCCAAGTTATGGAATAGAAGTAACAGTAAGGAATATACTTTGCGACAGGCGACGACTTTTGAAATCTAATATAGATCGTTATCTTTGTACATGATTTTTGGTAGACCGTGAGTACTAGAACACGTTACGTATATAGCACGCGGTATATAACCATCCTAACTTCCTTACAAACACTTTTACTCTGTTCGTTGTGTGAAAGGCAGGCATAATATTATGACGACGTTATGCGTAGTGCATGATCTATGTTAGTATTGGTATTTATCTCTACATATAATACGAATGTTTGATTTTACTGTTTGCGGTTCAAGTCGTGTTTGATGTTTTGTTTAAGCGAATTGATAGTTTAGTTACTTTCGAAACGAAGCTTTATCATGTTTTATGCGTCATATACAGATCTTAGAAACATAATAGTATAAATTTCCTTATAATGTTTTAAGTTTATTTCATAACTATTGATTTATCTTTTACTCTAAATGTATTAGAAATTGTCTAGAAACTTACGATTATATTGTTATTATATTACAATTTAAAAACTGAAAATTATGCGTTATTTTGTACTTATAAATAAAATTATTAATTAAAAATATTTTGCTTTTTTAAACTATATTTATATTTATTATTTATAATAATATTTTATAGTTATTCGTGTTTTATATTTATTTTTAAAATTTATTTTGATAAATTTTACATGTATAACAAAATTTTTATTAAAATAAGTAAGAAAGTAAATTTTTGGATAGTATAAAAGAAAATATTATTTTTGGATTAAATTAAATAAAATACTTATATGTTAATTCACATTGAGAAATAATTCTTTTAGAAAAAAAAAAGAATTATGATTTTGTACCTTATAATTTTTTATTTCATTATTTATAATTTATAATTTTTTTCAATTTTTGTAACTTTTAATTTTTTTTAATTTATAACTTTTTAATTTTTTAATTGTAATTAAAAATTTTATCATGATCTTATGAAATATAATATATTCATATATTTATATGGAAAATTTTAACGTTATGAAATTTTCAGGATGTATACTTTATGCTAAGATCAATAAGAAACAAGATGAAATAGAATCACAAAATGCGATGCATTTAACTTTCATGATCCTCATAGCTAGATCACTTTTGACCCAGTAGACTTAGCGTTCAATAATAGAACTAATTAAATGATAAAAATTAAATAAGTTTAGATTTACTGATATGAGTTATTATTGATCCATAACTACATCGTAGCTTGTACTCTCCAAGGAGTAAATATGACATTTTTATTTTAAATAGTTTAATGCAGTTCTCATATTTTTTCTTTTACAAACGTACATTTAGAAAAATATAACAATAATAAAAATTTTAATTGTGGTGAATTCTTCTGTTTTATAATCGAAGAATATAGAATATATTAAACAATATTGTGCAAGATAATAATATATAAGTATATTATATATTCGCGTTTTTAATTCTGTGCGAATGGAAAATTTGTGATATAAAATTTTTCTTTTTGTAACATAAATTTATCAATTAATTTATATTAAATATAATTTTTGATATAATGATATACAAGATTTTTTTATTTTTTTACATTATTTATTTACATTTCATATACTTGTCATTTACGTATATATTTTTATGCTTTATTTACAATATTATTTATAATATTATACAATGAAATATTTTTCAATTGTTAAAATCGTTATTAGCTCAATGTGCTTGTTTTAATTTTATGATTCCTTTATAATGAATTTTATCTGTTAAAAATTTTTTTTTTTACCAATTATATTATATTTCATCGTTGCAATATTTAAAATTTGTCAATATGAAATATAATTGATACATAACTATACTATAAAAGAATAACTAATTTTAACTAATAACTAATACAAGTTAAATATCGTTGATGATATTTTCTAGCATGTAATTCATACTTTTAGAAAATTAAACGTTTTAATTCATTTTAAGAATTTTCTTTTTCTTTTTTTTTTTTTTTTTTGTTTTTATATATGTTTGAATGTGCTATATCACTTTAAATATTTCTAATAGAAGATAATCTTAAACATTCTCAAACTAAAGTAGATATCTTTCTTCTTATAGATCAAACAAATGTGGCAAAGAAAGTTACGTTAACCGTTGTAAATGTACGTAACTCAAAGCGTAATTAATTTGATTGAAATATATATATATAAATATATATATATATTAAAGAATTAGTTTATTGAAATGAATGGATCCTTAGACTGTTTTTGCATGATTGGATATTCGTAAGATATTCTTTTCGTGCTTCTCAGCCTGATTCTTTGATCATTTTCACCTCGCTATAATAAATTAGATATTACGTGTATATCAAGTTCATCGTTCATCGTTCATTTCTCGATTTTTAGGAGATACGAGTAAAAAAAGTGTGATCATTGGAACAAAATTTGTATGCAAAAAGGAATAGAATGATGTTCGTTGTTAGTTGATGTTCGATCTCAAACTTTGTGTTATTTTAATGTTAATGGAAATGAGAGAAAGGAAACAAGAAGAAAATATGTTACATGAAATTTGTTTCTGTTACAGTTTTTCCTAACGTGCCACCTGCGCCAGGAATGCCCTGTCAGGGAGAAGACAGTGAGTTTTCATCATCAAAACAAAACTCTCTAACATTACATTACTTACATACAATTTTCACTATTCAACAATTTTCAACATTATAGAAATAACTAGCCAGCGAGTTGTTCGATTAATAATAAAGATTTAAGATTTAAGATTTTGTTCACGAAAAAGAGATGCGAGTAGCCTGGCTATAAATCGATATAATTCTTCATCGTTGAGAAAAGAGAAAAAGGGAAAACTAAATTAAATGGGAATCGTTTCTCTCTCTCTCTCTCTCTCTCTCTCTCTCTCTCTCTCTCTCTCTCTCTCTCTCTTTCTCCTTCGTTTCAACGCTTATTCTTTTCGAACGTTTTATATTGCTGCATTTAAACTCAAGCAGATTCGTTTTAGTTTCTCATGAAACATCGATGATCTTTGCGTGCTTTTATTTTAATTTTTATCATTTATATACAATGAAATTTATTACGTACAACTGGTCTTTAATTTATATGATAGAATTAATACGATGATCTTGCGACAAATTTTCTTGATTGATTTTATGAATTCTGAAAGAATTTTTCCCCGAAATGAATGATATTAAAATATTATCGATATCTGATATTTCACTCCCTTACATTACTTTATTATTTCGTCATTTCGGAGAATAAAATTTAACAATAGGAGAGAAGAATATATATAGAAAGTTTATCGATGAAAATATATGTTTTGAAATATTGCGATATCAGATTAATCTAGACATAAAGAAATTTTTCTAAAACATCGATGATTTGTCATATGACTAATTAAATTATTGTACAAGATATAAAAATACATGAACAATTATAAATGGATAATTTTATCATATCCCTTTCAAAAAAGAGAGAAACACTCCACGCGCTAACTAGAGAATGTTACAATTTCTGAAACATTTTTGTTTTTTAAAATATCGTAAATATAAATCAAGGATCAGTTAATATACTGATACAATTTATCGACAAAATTCAAAGAGAAGAAACGGAAAAACAATGATATAATATTTTCCATATTTCTGTTTCAAATATCGCGGGTCCCCGAAGATTAACTTGTTCTTATTGTGTTTACAAAATGTAGCTGTAGTATATTTCGCCCTTCTCATTATTACACGTATGGTTTTCTTAAACGGAGAAAGTATGGAGAAGTTTAGAACAATGGCAGTTTTACTGCAGATTTTTCATTGCGGTATTGGAATAGGAAAACATACTCATACTATTTTAATTTTAAGATGGGATACAAGTTTTCTTATTGTAATTATAAACTGGCATCATTGCACCAAAGATATATATTTTAATAGAAATGCGACGATTCATTCTCGATTAAATTTTAAGCATATGGTAACATTTCGGATGATGTAAGGAAAAAAAAAAAAAAAGGAAAAAAGAAAGTAAACTGAGATAAGAAAGAAATAATGAAAAAAGTCAGGACAGATTTTTGAAGATCGATTGTCTGGTTCTTTCGTGATATTTATGTTTTTTCATTTTCCAAAGGAAGCATCTACAGACGCGGCGCACGTAGATGGAGGAAGCTGTACCGAGTGAATGGTCATATATTTCAAGCGAAACGTTTCAATCGGGTAAGCATCATTTCATTCAAGTTATTGCCCCACTATTACCACGTTTTTTTCTTTTCCCTTCGTTTTTTTTTTTTTTTCTCTCCTTTGTTTTCATTTTTTGGCTCATCCAGTATTATTTTTTTCCATATATTTGCGCCAATCACGCACGTTATGTCATATCATCGTTCCAGACACAACAACATCTTACCCGTGGTGGATAGATTCCTGATCAAAGGAACTTGCTGGCTAGTGAACGTTAACGATCATTTTGTAGTAATTTATTCATTGAATGACAATTCTCCGTCAATCATCCGTCCCTTGAATGCTTAAGAATGAGAATGTTGTAGGTTCATGTTGTTTGAATGATTGTAGGTCATTTTCAAAGGTGAATGGTTAAGAATGTGAAAGTTACTGTTGGTTGAAGTTGGTTGATAACTTCACGTATAAATAGTAAGCTTATTATTTTATTATAAGTTATAAATTTTTTTTTTTTTAAAGAAGAAGAATAATTTATGAGAGTAAGAGTAATTTATATATTATTTAGACGAGAATAGAATATTTGTAGATATTTTGTATACAAGTAAAATTCGGATATGGATACAGTAAGACTCTCGTATCGTAGCAAGTATGTTGCATAATAACAAATAATGATGGAATAGTATATAATTTAAATATATATTAAATAATCACAAAAAAATAAAAATAATAGATATTATATTGCATGATATTTATATACGTATTTTTTATACATAATAATTTTTTTTTAAATCAACGATGGATACAGAGTCTTACTGCAATGGTAATTTGATTAAAATCGAGAAAATTTTTCATTAATAAATAATAATAAATAAATTTTCTAGATATATATTTCAATAAAAATGCATTTAAAAATTCTGCATCGTTTAAATGTTAAAAACTATAAAATTTATACGGATAGGTTATTCGTAATAGGTTATTAAATCATTATTTAATATTTATTATAAAGTTATAAATCCAGAATTCTCATATGTTATTTGTAAAAGAATTTAGAAAAATAATAATTTTTAATTTAATTATTTTTGATATTTGATAATAAGTATAATAAATTATTTTTATTCTTTGAACAGGAGAAAGATTATATTTTCAATTACATTAATTTAATTCTTTCTTATTCTCAAGATTTCATACAATAGATTCATCGAGTTCTCAAGAATAAATATAAATAATTATTTTTATAATTAATTTCTTCTCTAACTTTCGTAGCGAGCGTTTTGCGCATTCTGCCAAGATCGGATTTGGGGGCTAGGTCGGCAGGGGTTCAAGTGCATTCAATGCAAACTTCTGGTACACAAGAAATGTCACAAGGTGGTGCGCAAGCCATGCTTGAGTGTACAACAACAACAGCAACAACAGATGCCAAGCACAGAATCGCAAACGATCGACAGGAACGGCGATCAACAACAGCTTGATTCTGTCCAATGCAGCCCCGTAGCTCATCTCGAGGATGAGATCTCAGAATCGGCAATTATCGAGGAGCATTCACGCAATCGTAAGAACATTCGGATATTTATCCAAAAAATTTTGAAAAGAAAATTTGATCAATTGCTTTTTACCATTAATTATGAAAAAAAAAAAAATTAAAAATTACCAATTAATTATAAAAAAAGAGAATTATTTTTAATAAAATTTAATAATGTTTATTATTCAAAAAATATTGAATTAATGAAATATAATTAAAAATATAACTAAATCTGATATTGATGTTCTAAATTAAAATATGTTTTGTAGGAACCGGAAGTGAAGAAAGGGAGGAATTGCCACTGGATACATTAAACGATGCAGATAATTCAAATGATATGCAGAGGCAATACTCGTTAAATGATTTCGAACTGATTAGGGTAATCGGTCGTGGTTCCTACGCGAAAGTTTTGATGGTAGAGTTAAAACGTACAAAAAGGATTTATGCAATGAAAGTAATTAAAAAAGCCTTAGTAACGGACGACGAAGACATCGATTGGGTTCAAACGGAGAAACACGTATTCGAAACCGCCTCGAATCATCCTTTCCTTGTGGGACTTCATTCATGCTTTCAGACGCCTTCTCGTCTATTCTTCGTAATCGAGTTCGTACGTGGCGGAGATTTGATGTTCCATATGCAGAGACAACGCCGTCTTCCTGAGGAGCATGCTCGATTTTATGCAGCTGAAATCAGTCTTGCTTTAAACTTTTTACACGAGAAAGGTAAAAGAATAAAAGAAATAATATATCTTTGAAAAGAACAAAAGATAATTATTCTATCAAACGTAAAATGATAAAAATATGTAGTAAAATGAGAGTATATTGATTCATAATTTTTTTGTATAGGTATTATATACAGAGATTTAAAGTTGGATAATGTATTACTTGATCACGAAGGACACGTAAAATTAACTGATTACGGAATGTGTAAAGAAGGCGTTAGAGAGGGTGACACAACCGCTACATTTTGTGGCACTCCGAATTATATTGCACCCGAAATATTGAGGGGTGAAGATTATAGCTTCTCTGTAGATTGGTGGGCGCTTGGTGTACTTCTGTATGAAATGCTTGCAGGTCGTAGCCCGTTCGATATCGCGGGCGCATCAGAAAATCCAGATCAAAATACCGAAGATTATCTGTTTCAAGTTATTTTACAGAAGACAATTCGTATACCAAGATCATTATCGGTCAAAGCAGCATCAGTTCTTAAAGGTTTCCTCTGCAAAGATCCAAATGAAAGATTAGGCTGTGGCAAGAGACCAACTGCTTTTCTTGATATTGTTGCCCATCCCTTTTTCAAAGCCATAGATTGGGAAATGGTAATTAATTTCTCTAATTACATACAAAATATTAGAATATTAGAATAATTGTATTATAAAGTACATAGTTGATGAATGATATAATGAAGAGATAAGAATAATTATAAGAAGTTAATCATAATGCTTATAATGCTCTTGTAATGTGTAATATAACTAAAAAAATTAAATTGAATCTTTTTGCTTATTTATTAATGTGATAATAGATAAAAATGGAATTATAATTTAATCTAATAGAAATATTATTTTTCAATATATGTATAAATTTCATGCATAAGAAGCTTAAGTATTTTGCTATATTTTTATTGAATAATTATTATTTAATATGATAAAAAATACTAATTAGTCAAGATATATATTTTGTATTATCAAATATTATTAATAAATTTTCAGTTAGAACAAAAACAAGTAACACCGCCATACAAACCAAGATTAGATTCTGATCGTGATTTGGCCAATTTCCCACCAGAATTTACAGATGAACCAGTACATTTAACACCAGATGATCCGTAAGTTTTATTAAAAAGATTTATCAATTTATTCTAATATTATTTTAGAGCAAAAATAAACAAATAAAATGTTAAATAATTATTTTTAATTAAATTTAAAATTGTTGAAACAAATTGTTTCTTGTAAATATACAATTTAATTTTATTGAATTTTTCTAAGTAAAATATTTATATAAATTACTATATATACTATATAATAAATAAATTTACTATAAATATTAATTTTAATTCAGATGAGTCTTATATTTATTTTATATAAGATTTAACAATTGGTTTAATAGTTTAGTTTATTTAATTATTTAGTTTTTTAAGAAAATTATTAGGAAAATTGTCAAAAAACTGTTAATTTGAAATATCTTATTTAAAATTTTTTATTATAAGATATATTATGTTACAAGCTTTTTTAAATCTCTAATCTTCTTTAAATCTCTAATTTTTTAAATTTATTTTTTACTTAGACTAAAATATATTTTCCTAATAAAATTGAAATTTCCTAATAAAATAATTATATGATTTACGAAAACAATAAATATTTTCCAGGAGAGTGATTGACAAAATCGATCAAAGTGAATTCGAGGGCTTCGAATATGTGAACCCGTTACTTATGTCTTTGGAAGACTGCGTGTGACAAGAACCGCTTGTTATTGTGCCACGTCACACTCAAAATCAGCAACAATTACATTCGTGTTATATGTATGAATTACAAGATAAATTTGCGAAACTCCGAATCGATCCCCTTTTAAATATCAGCTCAAGAAATCGAGGTTATCATAACAATGTTTTTTTAATGACATATTCTGAAGAGAATGAGAACGACAATAATTATAACGAATATCGGTTATCACCACCTTTTCCATTTCGATACGAAAATCCGATATGCTCCAGTTCTCTAAGTATCACAGACGTGACGTACGGCTTTAGCAATAATAATGAGATCATTAGTAACTATGATGAACACAATTATGACGATGAGAAAGATGAAAGTCCGAAGAAAGGACTCTTAAAGCAAATGTTTTGCCTTCCATTAAATTAAGCTAAATAAGGCTTATTTAATATTACGAGATTGCCTCTAATCAATAGTTAATATAAATTTTGTAGATTGCAAGAGATTTGTAACCTGCAACGGTTAAAGTTTACAGAATCCTTGTATTAAGTATTGGACGAAAAAGTATTTAATTTGCGCCACATTATATATGAATCGTGTTGAATTCTTCTTTCACATGGTGCTGCAACTTAAACGTATTAATGGGTATTATTTCCAGCTATTTTTAGAAGAGAAATTAATTAAAATGGAAAATGTACCTGACTGCTTCGATTAATCTCGTAGATAATATGTCATTCCGTTGCGCAGTCGTTCTATTAATATTTACAAGCATTGTATGATCTACTATATTGCTTGCATGAATGTATTCACTAAAAACCATAGCAACAAAATATTTCTAACGAACTTATATCTATTTAAAAAAAATATTGTATATTATAGATTAATTACGTTTGAAAAAAATACTATACATATAGTATTTTAAATATATATATATAGTAAAAAAGTAGGTATACAGTTTCTAAAAAAATTAATTTTGTTTTGTACATTTTTTTTCTTTTATAAATATATATATGAACAATTTAAAACTATGATATATTAGTGAAAAACTTTTAAAAAGAAATTGTTGATCACAATGTATATTATATTAAAAAGAAAAAAAGAAATTATAATCACATCACAATATAGTATTATACATTTTATCGGATATTTTTTTTTGTGTCAAGGATGTGAAAGATATACAGTAAATGACTTTGGTATAAAGATTTTTCCTACAAATAAAATTATATATCGTATTTACAAATTTGTTAGCCTATTTTTAATTGAAATATATATAAAATACATGTGCGAACAACATATATTTATTTGTACTTTATAATTTATTTAAATTATGAAAATATGTCATAAAATGTTAAAATTGCACAAAATGATAAATATTTTTTTTCATTTTACGTAATCTAATTTCATTAAATTAAAGTGAAATTAATAATTTTAATTTCACTGGATTAAATTTTCCAGTTTCTATTATTACTTCCATATTTTTAGTATTATTTTTATAATTACCTATTGTTTTTATAAATCTATATTCATAATGATATAAAATAAAGGTCTTCCATACTGCATATTTTTTTTATATTTATTGCAATTTATCACTTTCATAAAAACAATAAATTCGATATATACTACTACTTTGTTAACTTCTTAAAATATACTTATAAAATATAGTAAACAAGATTAAAAACAGAATAAAATTAATTTTTAATTAATATATATGTATAATTTGATTTTGTGCAATTTTGCATTATTACTTTATATTTTAAAAATTCTTAATTATTTTTTATTAATATATTGATTAACTTTTTATTTTTAATTTTTTTTTTATTTATACATTATACCAAAATTATTTACTGCTGATAATTGTTCGCTCCTGTGATTATTATTATATATATAAAAAGACGTTAAAATATCTTGGAAAAAATAGAAGATTATGAAGATTTAATATAAAAATTAAGATAATCTAAAAGAAATTTAGAATAAGGATACACACGAAAATGAAATTACCAAAATGTTATATAAAAAACGTTTCAGAAATAATTAATAATTTTTCTTAAATTCAAACATGCCAGATATGTATACTATACTATGCAGAGTGAGACATTTTGATTCTTATAAATTTCAATTAAGATAATTAAATTGAATTAATTAAATTAAAATAAAAATTTTATGTTGAACAATATGAATTGTTCTTATTTCTAAAAATATAATATTTATCTTTTATTTAGATTAAAAAATATCATCTATAACAAAAACAATTATATTACTTTGTTTTTCCTAAATTTATTATAATGAAATTATCTCTGCATCTAATATTCTTCTTTCGCAATATCACCTTTCATTATGTTTATTTTAAGAGTAATAACATATATTTTATCTATATTATTTCAATATTGCAAATATTGTAATCAGTGTCTTCATATATACATCATATAGACATCTATTTATTATATAATTAATTAAAAATCAATTATTTATAATATAATAACGCTTAATAAGAATTTTAATAATTAAATAATTCAAGTTATTTTTTGTAATTAAAATATCCAATTAAACAAGTGATTTATATAATTCAAAACAGAAAAAGATATAATATTATAAATAGATTTTAACTAACATAACTTAATGTTATATGTATATTTTTTTAATAAAGAATGCAATAATTAGGAAAACACATCTGTAGATTTTAACTATTAAAATTTTAGTTTTACAAATTTTAATTACTTTATCACATATTTAGTTACAAATGTAGAAAATGAGTTTTACTTTACTTGAATAGTTTTTTTTTCTAAATAGTATAAAAATATAAATAAATTTAAATTTCATGATTTTTTGCATGACTTATATTTTTATATTAAATTTATAATTATACTTATTTAATGAATATTAAAATGTAATTATAATAATTCAATAAGCTTAAATTATTTTTAATATGATTAATTGTTGAATAGTAGTTATTTTAACGAATATAATTCCAAATATTATTTTATAATTAAGTGTATAAATAACAATATTTTATTCGTAAATCATTTTTTTTGTCATATATATGGTATATATATAATTTTTTTTATCATATATTATATATATATCATATATATAGGAAAATGCATATTATTTTAGTATCTATGTTAGTATCTAATAATATGTTAATAATCATTATAAATTATAAATTATATATATATATATATATATATATATATATAAATTATATTTTATATATATCTTATCGTTATTTTATCCTATTATTCAAATAGATTTTTTTTTTAATAAACTTGAATAATTTAACAAATTTTATTATTATTTATACTTAATTATAAACATTACATATAAACATACTTATATGTTCTTAATAACAAAGTATTATTTTAAAGATATATATTTATTCGCATAAAAATAAAACATATCAATAAAAATTTTAAAAACAAAAATTTCTTACATATGAGAATGAAATGTACAATGTATACTCCATTAAATATGTAATGTATTTGCATATTCAATGAAAATGAAAATATATCTTCAAATTAATATGTAAAATAAAAGCAAATTTTATGTATTTATATAACTGTTATTAATTATTTTTATTCGATACATTCAATTATAAATTTAAATTTTTTTAATTATCATTTTACATTTATTTACATTTAAAAAATATAACAATATATAAATGCTAGTTTTATAAAGAGAAATAAGCGTTATTAAAAATATAATTTTATTGCTTATATTTTAAGTGCCTCGCCCTGTATACTAAATGTATATATATTTATGCATGTAAATAATTTAAAAAGAATATTGTACTTCATTTAAGTGTTTCATTTTAAACATTGTAACTATTTTACAAAGTAATATTATCATTATTATTACTTTATATTATTATTATTCAAAATAATAGCATTATTTTCGTTGCAATTTTGTTGTTGAAACAAAATTTAATCAGAAATAAAAATTATTACTTATCATTTTTCACATTGCAATTATTTATATTTTATCTATAGTTACTTTTTTATTATTTGATTAATATTTTGTTTTACAACAAAAATTCTTTTTCGTGTGTTAGAAAATGTTCCATACGCAGTTCCAAGAGTTAAAAAAAAGTATATTAAACAATGATGGCTTTTGCTGCAAATAAAGACTATGAAAATAAAATTATAGAACTATGTTATTTAAATATTGTATTGTTAGCGCTCAAAGTGAAAAGAGAATGCTTGTTATCATTTATAACATATATGTATATGTATATATGAGAGGAATTTTACAATGTATGCCTTGTTGTTCAAAATTCAGTTTTCTATGCTAAAATTGTCTTTGGTCGAAAAACGAGTTTGTATATTGATGTAATTATTAATCTGAATTAATAACATTCGAAAAATATTTGATGATCGATTAAAATATTAATTGTATAATCAGAATGCAAATATTGTGTAGTAAATTTTGTTTTTATGATAAAGTGATCAAATAATTAGTTATATAATCTAAACTAAAAAAGTGAAAGTTTTGTATAATATGCTTTGTTTACAACATTACAACAAAAAATATAAATAAGTAAATCAAACAAATAAATAGAAGTGAATTAATTTTTTCGATTATTGAATATTGAATGAATGACTGATAAATCAATTTAAATAATTCCTTTCATTTTTATAACCATAATGTAGCGATATTAATAATACTAATAATTTATTAACATTTATTTTAAATTGTATTGAAATGTTATTATTTATGACAATATCTTAATAAGATTTTTATAAATTTTAACTTATATTAATATTAACTTACTTTTCGTAGAGTCTAAATGTTATCATTTATCCAACATGCATATACTGTATAAATAAATTTTAATAATATAATTTTAAATCATGCGTTGTTAACTCATGTTATTCAAATAATATTGAATATTTGACTTTTTAAAAATCATGAATAAAATATCTTAAAAATGAAAGTTATTTATATTCTTTTAAAGAAAATAACAATAGAAATATTAAAGTTATGTATTAAAATCGAAATTTTTAAAATTGAATATTTGAATGTTTAATTATATATAAATATATATATTTTTCAATCTAATTGATCTTTCTATTGTTAACTCGTTCAGTTTTATTGTTATTTTCGATCTTTTTATATTTAATATTATATCATATTAACATTGACATTACTTTTTTTATAATAATAAAAATTTTTTTCAAA